AACATTACGTACTCAAGCACGGGATCCCGGAACGAGTCCTCACCGACCAGGGTAGCGAGTTCGAGGCCGAGCTGTTCCAGGCACTGTGCCGAGAATTCGGAATCCAGAAGGACCGAACCACAGCGTACCACCCCCAAGCGAACGGTATGGTAGAGCGCATGAATCAGACCCTAGCGGGGAAACTCAAACGTATGGCGGCCGCAAATCAACGGGATTGGGATGAACACCTCCCCTACGCCCTTTTCGCCTACGCCACCACCGTACACACGTCGACGGGACAAACCCCGTTTTTAATGATGTTCGGCCGTGAGTCCCGTTTACCCGCAGATCTGCTATTCGGCGTCCCTTCCCCCCAGCCGGAGGAGGGAAGCCGCCCCGTGGAACACCTGTTGGAGACGCTGCGAGAAGCCCGAGGCCGAGCATACCCGCAAGGGGAAGCCGCGCATCGGCGGCAGGAACAGGGCACCCGACCCCGCATGGAACCCCCCTTATTCCTGACAGGCACTAAGGTGTGGCTACACACCCCTCGCGTCGGGGCCGGGCAGGTGGGGAAACTGACGACCTACTGGCGGGGACCCTGGACCGTGGTGCGGCAGATATCCCCCTGGACGGTACTAATTTATGGCGGGGAGAGGGGTCGAGAGACGGTGGTCAATGTCCGCCGCTTAAAACCATGGAAAGCGGCCCCGGCGAGAGAGGACTCCGTCACCCGAAAGCCCCAAAATCCCGGAGTACCCGCACCCCTCGTTTTGGGGGGCCTCGCACACTACATGGGCCCCGCCGGGCCCCCGAGACGCCCCGATCCAGTCCGGAGACGGCGCGGACGACGGCCACTAAACCCTTCCGCTGCTGAGTTTGTGCCCCAGCCCACAGGTGCCGGAGGACGGGGAGAGCCGCTGGAGTGGAGGAGGAGACCGCCGCAGGAGCTACAGAGGACGGAACCACCCGCCCCGAGGCCAGCCACCAGGTCCGGACGGATCCCCCGGACCCCGCAACGTTTCCTCGTGGGCGCGGCCCAAGCGAGGTGCTCCAGTCAACCCGGGACGGGGACTGGCACCTCGGGGGGCTATGTGATGCCGCCGCCGCGAAGCCGTTCGGCAGGCACCAAATCCCCGACCTCGCCACCACCAAGCAACGGAGCCGACACCGCGTCCCCCTCACCTCACCTCACATGCACACACCCGCACTCATTTCCCCCCCCCATAGAGCTCCGAGGGGAGGTCGCCTGGCCGACCGGTTTTTATCCGAGAGATCCTTATCGGGATTAATTCTCACGGTTTCCGGCGATCAGGGAATTGGATGACCTCCCCCGTGCTACGTGGCACCGCGGCGCTGCGGCCGGCCTTAATATGGTGTGGTCGCGGCGTGGGGCATTCGGCCACCGCGGTTGAGGCGCATTTCCCCCCACACACACCCCCACGAGTCGACGGGGCAAGCAGGGGAGGCACGGGACAGCATGAATAGCGGGATCACAGGGGCTGTTGCGCATAGTCATGGAGGGTTGGGATAATTGCGCTTGAGCGCGCAGGCCCCATTGTTAGGGAGGGCAAGGGATTAATTAGGATTTACGCCTTGCACGCAGCACACTGATTAGCATATCAACAGCGCCCAGAACCGCCGTGCGCGTGCCAGAGGATCGCGAGCCCATTGTTTAGCGCAGCATCCCCTTTGAGGTAGGGAGGATAAATAGAGGGGCGCAGAGGGGAAATAGCTCTCTTCTCTCCAGGCCAGCGGATCAGCAGCAGCTCCAGCCAGCGACCCGGACGTCCGTGCGACGCATCGAGGTACGCTGTTAGCGCAGAGAGCAGCGAACCTCCGCGAGCACCAAACAGTAAGTGGGGAGGTGAAGTAGGGTAGCGTAAGCCGATAAATAGGGAATAGGTACAGGTTTGGGTGGAATAGGCCAGCCTCGTCGACTCACTGATTCAACATCAATTCGCAGGTAACATATAATAAATCATTAATAGCGAAGCGTGGTCTCGCGTGATCTTGTCGTGCAGTGTGAGCGTGTGGGTGCGCGTGTGTACGCAGTGATCCTGTAGTGCTGCGGCTCGCCTCGGGGGAGCGCTGCGCAGAGCGGTGCAAGAGTGGGTGTCGTGTGTGCTCACTCCGTGTGTGATACAGGTGCGCGATCGTAACTTGAGTAGTCCGTGTGGAGTTGGAGTGCACGAAGCGGTGTGTGTGTGCGTACGTTCGTTACGTGTCGGATACGGATGCGCATTGGGAACGTGCCGCACAGGGCTATACTGCGAGCACGGCGTTTGATTGACGATGATGTGCGCACGTATGCTCGCAGCGTGGGAGCGCGGCGCGAGGCTGTAACAGTAGGGGCGTCGCGTTCGAATGCCGGCGAAACCGTAGCGGGTAATAGGGAGGTGGGGTAACGTAAACGAAATAGGGGATGCAGGCGGGAGGGACCCCGGGGGCCAACGGCCCCCACACAACTGCTGCTGCTACTACTACTGCTGCTATTACATCTACTGCTAATGCTGCTACTGCAGCTACTACTACTGCTGCTACTACTGCTGCTGCTACTACTGCTGCTGCTACTGCTGCTGCTACTACTGCTGCTTATACTACGCCCACTGCTGCTACTGCGGCTGCTATTAAACGACTGGACGCGAGGGAACGCGCTCCGGCAGCCCCACGCTCGCTCAATAACAGGGCCGCCGGGGTCGTCATAACCACGTGGCAGTGAAAAAGGGCCATTGCCCGAAACGTCGCGTGTTTGTGAAACATCATCCGTGGGTTCATCGTCTGGGCAGCGGATTTCTCTTTTGTCTCAGCCAAAGGTGGGCGGGCGGGCGTGTGGGTTTCGCTGCATGATCATCAACATCAACAACTTCATCAACAACATCATCATCATCAACAGCATCAACATCATCAACATCATCATCAACATCACCAAAATTATCATCATCAACATCATCATCAACGTCATCATCAACATCATCATCATCGCCAACATCATCATCAACATCATCATCCCACTCCCGAGATGATGAAGCCACAGGCACTTTCGAAATCATCATCATCATCGTCATCATCATTCTCGATTGACAAAACGAATTGCTTTGGAACTTGCTTCTCGTTATTTATCGCGATTATCGTGATTATCGCCACGCTTGTTTGTGCACAGCCCCCCCCACCCCCCACTGATCTAAAACTAATGTCTCTAGGGGGGGGGGGGCGTTTAGATCGCGTAAATAAATAGATTTTGTGTCGTTAAACCCGCCACCACCCGACTCAGCCAATTAGTAAAGTTGTGTCACGTGAACAGAAAGTGGCCAATTCGTTACTAGTACAGCAAATAGTGTGTAGTGTATAGTGTAGTGTATAGTAGTGTAGTGTAAAGTGTAGTGTATAGTGTAGTGTATAGTGTAGTAGTGTATAGTGTAGTGTATAGTGTAGTGTATAGTGTAGTGTATAGTGTAGTGTGTAGTGTAGTGTATAGTGTAGTGTATAGTGTAGTGTATAGTGCAGTGTATAGTAGTGTATAGTGCAGTGTATAGTAGTGTATAGTGTAGTGTATAGTGTAGTGTATAGTAGTGTATAGTGTATTGTGTAGTGTAGTGTATAGTAGTGTATAGTGTAGTGTATAGTAGTGTATAGTGTAGTGTATAGTGTAGTGTATAGTGTAGTGTATAGTGTAGTGTATAGTAGTATATAGTGTAGTGTATAGTGTAGTGTGTAGTGTAGTGTATAGTGTAGTGTATAGTGTAGTGTATAGTGCAGTGTATAGTAGTGTATAGTGCAGTGTATAGTAGTGTATAGTGTAGTGTATAGTGTAGTGTATAGTAGTGTATAGTGTAGTGTATAGTGTAGTGTATAGTGTAGTGTATAGTGTAGTGTATAGTAGTATAGTGTAGTGTATAGTGTAGTGTGTAGTGTAGTGTATAGTGTAGTGTATAGTGTAGTGTATAGTGCAGTGTATAGTAGTGTATAGTGCAGTGTATAGTAGTGTATAGTGTAGTGTATAGTGTAGTGTATAGTGTATTGTGTAGTGTAGTGTATAGTAGTGTATAGTGTAGTGTATAGTGTAGTGTATAGTAGTGTATAGTATAGTGTATAGTGCAGTGTATAGTAGTGTATAGTGTAGTGTATAGTGCAGTGTATAGTAGTGCATAGTGTAGTGTATAGTGCAGTGTATAGTAGTGTATAGTGTAGTGTATAGTGCAGTGTATAGTAGTGTATAGTATAGTGTATAGTGCAGTGTATAGTAGTGCATAGTGTAGTGTATAGTAGTGTATAGTGTAGTGTATAGTAGTGTAGTGTATAGTAGTGTAGTGTGTATTGTAGTGTATAGTGTAGTGTTTAATGTAGCACATAGTATATAGTAGTGCAGTGTATAGTGTAGTGTACAGTAGTGTATAGTAGTGCAGTGTATAGTGTAGTGTATAGTAGTGTAGTGTGTAGTGTAGTGTACTAGTACAGCACACCGATGTGTTGGAGAGCCAAGCCACAACATTTACACTCCGAGTACGACGTTTCGCCAGTAAATACAACCAGCTTCATCAGGCGGACAGCCAGATCTAATCCACCCCCCCCCCCCCACTGTATTGTGGATGATATTGGTGTGTGTATGTAGTGTGTGTATGTGGTGTGTGTATGTGTGTGTATGTGGTGTGTAGCGGTTAGCGCGCTGCGCTATGAACCTGGCGACCCGGGTTCAATTCACGCTTACGGCCAACACCAGTGACGATTATCTGAACCGGTCCCGGGCCTCCCCTAGGTCGACTCAGCCTCAAATGAGTACCTGGTGCGATGTGTAAACATCGTCACTAGGGAGACAAAGGCGGCCGGGCGTGGTGTTGGCCACCCACCCCCTCGTGTACCATTCCGGCCTTCATAGGTCCTCGCTAACAGCACTTGCCCCTACAGTCTGTTAAGGTTATACGGGGGATCTTTGTCTTTGTATATGTGTATGTGTGTGTATGTGTGTATATGTGTGTGTGTGTTGTATTTTAGATATCCCGCCTTGGCTGGGGCATCTGGCGGCTTCACTGCTCGAGGGGGCACGCGGGCCCCTCCCGCAGGATCCCACGACCCCCCCTGACCTCGAGTCCCCTGCGTGTCCACGCGAGCACCCGGGCGGGCGTCTCCGCGGGCACGCAGAAGGCGAGTGACGTCACCGCCTGGGGCGACAGCGCCACGGCCCACACCCCCAGCTGGGTCAGCTCCCCCACGAACGCCTGCGTCGCATCAAAGTGGCCCCCCAACACGTCCTGGGCTCAGGGGGGTGGTAGTGGGGGGGCACAGAGGAAGAGGAGTATGAAGGGTGAGAGAGGGGGGGGGGTAGTGGGAGGAGGGGGGGCAGGGGGGGGGCACAGAGGAAGAGGAGGATGAAGGGTGAGAGAGAGGGGGGGTACACGTGGTCTGAGTCCGCTGCTCATCTCGCTCAGTCCGCAGCAGCGAGCCGCACTTCACGTGACGGCCTCCAAGTGCACCTAGCCTGGCACAAGCACTGGTGGTTTCTATGTGCGTGTGTGCGCGCATCTCAATGCTTATATATCTATGGATGTCTATGGATTTCTGTGTCTATGTGTCTATGTACTTTATGTATATGTGTGTCTATGCATGTCTATGTGGCCCAAGATCACAAATCGCACTTTAATTCCATCAAAGTAACTCTGCAGCGCCACACCTATGACCATCATTAGGGGAAAGAACGGTGATCCAATCTCCGAACCCCAGGAACAGGTTTGCAGATTTGCTGAGCATTTCTGTGAGGTCCTGGGGGATGACCCTGCTGAGGCTGTAGTGCCTCAAATATTGGAGAAAGAAGTCACCCCCTGTGAGTGGCTGGCTGAGGTGCCATCTGTTGAGGAAGTACTGAAGGCGATCCGAAGTCTTACACCAGGAAAGGCACCGGGCAGAGATGATCTCCCAAGCGAAATGCTGAGGGAGGGTGGCGTTTATGCACAGACTGCCCTACATGACATCATAACAACAGTCTGGACCACTGGATGGGTTCCACAGGATTGGAAGGATGCCCTGGTGGTCACCCTTTTTAAGAAGGGGGACCGCACAGACTGTAACAACTACAGGGGCATCTCACTCCTCAGTGTGCCGGGAAAGGTCCTGGAAAGGATTATTCAACATCGCCTTGCTAGGCACTCTGAGGAGAGGCTTGCCGAGCCCCAATGCGGTTTCAGGAAAGGGCGGTCCCGCAGATGCCATATTTTCTATCCGTCTGCTACAGCAGAGGTGTAGGAAATTCCAACAAGACCTACATCTCTGCTTTATTGACCTGGTCAAAGCCTATGATACCATTAGTAGGCCTGGGCTCTGGATTGTGCTTCGTGCTTTCGGAGTCCCTGACTCTCTGCTCACGATCATTAAAGACCTTCATGATGGTGAGCAGGCCTGGGTAAAACTACGTGGCCTGGAGTCGGAGCCATTCCCTGTTCACCTTGGGGTGCAACAGGGATGTCCTCTGGCTCCCACAAGTAGTTCGGGAAGCCTTCGGTTGCTATACCAGAGGAATTTCCATTTGGTACAGATACAATGGGAGGCTGATCGATGCCCGGGTGTGGTCAAGCGATAGCTCCCAATTGCTCAACCATGTTATGTATGCCGATGATCTGATAATTGCTGCTCACTCAGAGGAGGAGTTGGAGACGCTGCTGCTGAACCTTGGAGCTTGTCACTAAGAAGTGGGGCCTTACCATCAGCCCCACCAAAACTCAGCACCTGCCTGGGTATTTTGTACCATCGGACACTCCACCCCCACAACTCCCAATCGGTGATGGGGCAGTTGTAGAGAGAGTGGAGAGCTTTCCATACCTGAGCAGTGTGCTCATGACCGGCTCCGGTTTTACAGCAGAAGTCTCACTCCGAATCAGTCGACTGGGTTATCTTTTCATCGGTTGCGTAACGCTGTGTGGAAACTACCTGGTCTGTTGCTCCACACGAAGCTTCAGGTCTTCTCAGCCACAGTCATTCCCTCCCTTCTCTATGCTTGTGAAATGTGGACCCCCCTAACGGAACATCTTCGCCGGATATAAACATTTAGGCTGGCCTGCCTACGATCCATCCTGGGTTTAACCAGGCTGGATTGTGTGAGGAGCTCACAAATCCTTGAAAGATCTGTACAAAGTCCCATCGGTGAGCTCCTCCGGCAGGCAAGGTTGCGTTGGCTGGTTCATGGAGCCCGCATGCCCAGCCACCGCATGCCTAAACAGCTTTTGTTCGATCTTGACTTAAAGCTTTCGTGACTGCAGGAATTAATATTGTTTGGGTCTTTCGGTAAAGTCAAATAGATAGGTTAAAAGAAAATAAGAAAAAACTACGACGTTTCGATCGCAACACAAGCGGTCGTCATCAGGAAACTGTTTATAAAGGTTTAAAATGGGCGCAGCCTCAGTGTCAGCAGTATGGGCGGGGCAGCTGATGTTAATTTAAGTGATGGGCCACCACTGCACTCGTGGTGGGTTTCCACAAAATTGGAGGGCTGCCAGGTAAAAAGAATTAGCATGTTAATGTGAGATCGGTGAGCGTCCTCCACGACAAGCGTGTTGAGGTGGCTATGTTAATGTGAGAGATTAGAATGTTAATGTGAGAGATTAGCGTGTTAATGAGAGAGATTAGCATGTTAATGTGAGAGATTAGAATGTTAATGTGAGAGATTAGCGTGTTAATGAGAGAGATTAGCATGTTAATGTGAGATCAGAGAGCCTAAAATAACAACTAACATCGGAAGGTGGTAGGATGGGAACATCACAGCCAGTTAAACTGGTTGATGACGTCCTTCCAATGATTGCTAAGTTCATACACATCTTCTCGGTTGTCTGTATATATGGATGACTTCATGAACAAATATTTGTTGATAGCCAGTGGGCTTGCAAAGTACCTTCGTCTTAGAGAAATCAATTTCGTGTGAGCCAGCCGCATAAAACAATGATCAGCCACGGCCGAGGTATTGGTCCTACCGTGTTTCAGATCTGCCTTGTGTTCACGAACACGGTCCGAGACATGTCGCTTAGTTTCCCCCGGCCGTGGTGCTGGCCACCCACCCACTCGTGCGCCATGGTGCCGCCCTTCGTAGGTGCTACTCGCTAACAGCACTTGCCCCAACAGTGTATCAAGGCTATACGGGGGATCCTTGTCTTTGTGTGTCTCCAACATCGCCACTAGGGAGACAAAGGCGGCCGGGCGTGGGAGCTGGCCACCACGTGCGCCACGGTGGCTCTGCTGCTCACACTTGCCCCGGCGGCCTGCTGAGGCTACACAGGGGACCTTTGCCTGTGTGCGTCTCCCACCTGCTCCTGTCCCAGCACGATGACCCCGCCGCCAGTGAGGGGCCTCCAGGGCGCGAGGCCGTCCCCGCTGCCCGTGCGGACCCCGTCGAGGAAGCTGCTCCACGCTCCGTCGCGGGCGCTCCACGTGACGCACACGTGGTGCCAGCTGAGGCGGGGCACTCTCAAGGGGAGGAGCATCACCTGGAGACACACAGATACACATAGAGATACATAGAGATACATAGAGACTCACAGAGATACACAGAGATACGTAGAGACTCACAGAGACACACAGAGACACACAGAGATACATAGAGACTCACAGAGACACACAGAGATACACAGAGATACATAGAGACTCACAGAGATACACAGAGATACATAGAGACACACAGAGACACACAGAGACACACAGAGACTCACAGAGACACACAGAGATACACAGAGACACACAGAGACACACAGAGATACATAGAGACACACAGAGACACAGAGACACACGTAGAGATACATAGAGACACACAGAGATACACAGAGACACACAGAGATACACAGAGACACACAAGAGACACACAGATATACACAGAGACACACAGAGATACACAGAGACACACAGAGACCCATAGACACACATAGATACACAGAGACACACAGAGACGCACAGAGACTCACAGAAACACATAGAGATACAGAGAGACACACAGAGACACACAGATATACACAGAGATACACAGAGACACATAGAGATACACAGAGACCCATAGACACACAGAGATACAGAGAGACACACAGAGATACACAGAGACACACAGAGACGCACAGAGACACACAGAGACACACATAGATCAATAGAGACACACAGAGACTCATAGAGATACACAGAGATACACAGAGAGACACACAGAGATACATAGAGACACACAGAGATACACAAAGACACACAGAGACACACAGAGATACACAAATACACAGAGATACACAGAGACACACAGAGACTCACAGAAATACACAGAGATATACAGAGACACACAGAGATACACAGAGATACAGAGACACACAGAGACACACAAAGACACACAGAGATACACAGAGACACACAGAGACACATAGAGACTCAGAGACACACAGAGACACACAGAGACTCACAGAGACACACAGAGATACACAGAGACACACAGAGACACACAGAGATACACAGAGACACACAGAGACCCATAGACACACAGAGATACACAGAGACACACAGAGATACACAGAGACACACAGAGACGCACAGAGACACACAGAGACACACATAGATCAATAGAGACACACAGAGACTCATAGAGATACACAGAGATACACAGAGAGACACACAGAGATACATAGAGACACACAGAGATACACAAAGACACACAGAGACACACAGAGATACACAAAGACACACAGAGATACACAGAGACACACAGAGACTCACAGAGATACACAGAGATACACAGAGAGACACACAGAGATACATAGAGACACACAGAGATACACAAAGACACACAGAGACACACAGAGATACACAAAGACACACAGAGATACACAGAGACACACAGAGACTCACAGAGATACACAGAGATATACAGAGACACACAGAGATACACAGAGATACAGAGACACACAGAGACACACAAAGACACACAGAGATACACAGAGACACACAGAGACACATAGAGACTCAGAGATACACAGAGACACACAGAGACACAGACACACAGAGATACACAGAGACACACAGAGATGCACATAGAGACACATGGAGATATATAGAGATACACACACAGAACAGGACCCTGCGGGGTGGGCTGGTAGGAACGAATAACCAAAGAATATAAACATAATGTATTATTACACTTGTTTAGCCAGGAAAGCCCCACTGAGTCTCAAGGTTTTTGTAGGGTCCTGCCAAGTGTTTGCAGTAGGGGGCGATGTTGCTACACCTAATCGGACGATACAAAGGGAGACTGTGAGGCCTAGTTCTAGGCTTTAGGCCTAGCTGTAGGCTTTAGGGCGCTGTGAGTTTTTAATTTAATTTCAAAGTTTTAATTAAAAGCTATCTCAGGGAATTATAAGGGAATGTTACACTTGTTTAGCCAGCAAAGCGTCACTGAGTCTTAAGGTTTTTGTAGGGTCATGCCAAGTGTTTGCAGTAGGGGGCGATGTTGCTACACGGACGCACAGACGGTCGGACGGACGGACGGACGAAATAATCTATTGTAGGCTGGTCCACTTCGTTCCTACCAGTATAAATCACTTGATGACGATGGTGATGATGACGATGATGATGACGACGATGATGATCATGACGATGCTGACGATGACGACGATGCTGATGACGATGCTGACGATGATGACTTGATGACGATAATACCGCCCCCTGCGCCCCCCACCTTGTCGTTGACCACCACCTCGACGCCGTCTCCGCCCGCCTCCATGAGGGTCAGCTCGTTGGGCTGCCCGGTCACGGCGTACGAGAGGATCGTTCCCAGGCCGAGGCCAGTCCGTCTGAGCCACGTGCACAGCGTGAACGCGTGCAGCTCGGGCAGCGTGGAGCGCACGCGCGCGTACATGTAGTTGGTGCGCGCGCTGAACACGAGACGCACCGAGTCGCCTGGAGTACACGCGCACACGTGTACACACACACACGCGTGTACACACACACACACGTGTACACACACACACGTGTACACGTGTAGTACACACATACACACGTACACACGTGTACACACACACACGTGTACACACGTACAACAACAACTGCCATTCTCCACTAAGTGGCGGTGACGTCACCAAGGCACTTGTGCCAGGCCATGTGCACCTTGAGGCCACGTGAAGTGTCGAACGCCCGCTGGCAGGAGGTCACGGGGCAGACCCAGGTGCCACAGGTCGACTGACTGAGATGACTGGCTGATGCACCACCTGTGCCCCCTACTGTGCCAACTTGCCGTTGCTTTAGCCACCCGGCGCTTCGCTCGTTGTTGTGAGCGTCGCTCCTCCGCCCTCCGTTGTCGTTGGAGGGCGACTGCCTCCAACTGCCCAGTAGCGTCCTTCACGAGCCTCCTTCACAGAGGCCGATCTTGACACCGCTGGTACCAGTCACCGGCAAGTCCACTCAGCTCCACGTCCTCCTGTACCACATCACTCCATCTCTTCTCGAGCCCGTGCCGTGCCCGTTTAGCCTCCTCTATCCGGTCGAACAAAAGCTGTTTAGGCATGCGGTGGCTGGGCATGCGGGCTACATGACCCAGCCAACGCAGCCTTGCCTGCCGGAGGAGCTCACCGATGAGACTTTGCCCAGATCTTTCAAGGATTTGTGAGCTCCTCACACAATCCAGCCTGGCTAAACCCAGGATGGATCGTAGGCAGGCCAGCCTAAATGTTTCCAACCGGCGAAGATGCTCCATTAGGGGGGTCCACGTTTCGCAAGCGTAGAGAAGGGAGGGAACGACTGTGGCCGAGAAGACCTGAAGCTTCGTGCGGAGCGACAGACCAGGTAGCTTCCACACCGCATTACGCAACCGATGAAAAGATAATGCCGCTCAACTGATTCGGAGCAAGACCTCTGCTGTTAAACTGGAGCCGGTCATAAGCACACTGCCCAGGTATGGGAAACTCTCCACTCTCTCCACTACTGCCCCATCACCGATTGGGAGTTGTGGGGGTGGAGTGTCCGATGGTACAAAATACCCAGCCAGGTGCTTAGTTTTGGTGGGGCTGATGGTAAGGCCCCACCTCTTCTCGGTTGAAGTGACATCTATATTTATATATCTGGATGGCTTCATGAACAAACCTTTGATAGTATCTATCAAACCTTCGGGCTACTATAAAAAGGTTTGTTCATGAAGCCATCCAGATATATAAACATAGATGTAACTTCAACCGAGAAGATGGATACAAATTGAGCAATCATTGGAAGGATGTTATTAACCAGGTAAAACCTCAACTGCGTTATGGTGTTGCCTTCATATCCGCATCTCCAGTTTCTTCAGCCTCCCACTCCCAGCCCCGCCCACTTCCCCCCCCCCCCGGCAATTTGCCTTGCTCCCCCTACCCCCCACCCCCTCTCTATCTCTCCCCCCTGGCTCCTCCCCCCTCTGTTACCTATACAGTATAGCCTCCTGCAGTGGCGGCTCCTGCAAAATCTCTCAGGGGGGGCAAATGTCTGGATGATTGATAAGGATAAGGTCCACCCATGCAATGGATAAATTAACAGCTTAAGCATGTAAAGGCAACTTCACTACTTTAATATTAATGAAAAATAAAGTGACTCTTACAATACATCTCCTTGTTTGTTTCTATACTCACTATTATTACACTGCTTACATCACATTACTCGCTTAATACACTGCTTACTTATACTGAAATTTTGCTCTTCTCTCTTTCAAAGTAGCAAAGTGATCAATTACTCTCTCATTGAAAGCAGGCATGTTCCTGACTAGTTCCCTCTCCATGGAAAGCATAGCCATTGCATTCAGACGTTCCTGTCCCATTACATTTCTCAGGAATGTCTTGATTTTCTTTAAGGTTGAGAAACACCTCTCAGCTTCAGCAGTTGTCATGGGAGTGGTTATGAGGATGTTCAACAGAGCAACAGTCTCTGGAAAAGTATCCTGGAGGTTGTACTTCAGCAAAACCTGGTAGAGTGCTAGTGCACCACAGCAGCCCTTGAATTCTGGACTCTCATAAATGAGAGACAGTTCAGTCTTCAGCTTCGCCTTATTTAACATAGGGTATGCCCTGACAGTGATGTTCAGAGCCTCAACAGGGAATGTATGGCCATGCTGTTGAAACATCTCTCCCTGTAGCAGCGTGGCACTTACAAGGTGGTCGGTAAAGAAGAACCTTTCTTTGGTGTGGACCAAGATTGTGTCGTAGACCTGACAAAATAAATAAATGTAATTTAGTTATAAAATAAATTATTTATTATAATATAAATATTGAGATACAAGGTTTCTATCCCGACAGCAACAATGTATCAGGCAGAATCCATATTTTATATCTCCATATTTTTTCAAAAATTAATGCTATTGGTCACCCTTTACATCTGTCAATGTGTTTTACAAATATTTAACCAATGAAAAGCATTAAAAGAGCTTGTAAATTATTTTGGGCAAAAAACAGGTTTTCTTTCGTTTCCTGAAAAGTAACAGTTTTGGACATACAAGGCTTCCGTCCGACAGCGATGATTTGTGTGTGTGTGTTTACGTTAATTAACATTTTACCAAAATTCAAGCTGAAATGGAGTTTGACAAGGGTTTTTAACCAGTAAATGTATTTTCAATCCACTCAGTTTCTTTTATTAAAGATTCCACTAGGTGGCGACAAATTATATTGTTGACTGAAACGTGCTTACGTATGATGACGTAAGCACGTTAGTGCGAGCCCTCCCGGAAGCCAGAGAATGCATTGGAGCGCCCCCCGTTCGAAAAAAAACATCTTTGAATGTAAGTCTATGGGAACACTCTGGGCGATTCTCAGCCAGAGTGAAACCGCCTAAAAAGAGGCGGTACTCCACAGAACGTGACATGACGCTGATTGGACTATATCCAGAGGCACAGTAACGGCTAGCGTGACTCTGTGGTTGAATATTAATGTGATTGAAAAAGTCCCTTTCACACTTTGGTGGTGCGTTGCCCAACCGCCCTAATGAAGAAACCGCCCCTGGCCTCCTGTTACAGCAGCCCTTTTGCCCACGTCAGCAGTTGTTTCTTGCTGTGGTTGTTCCACCTGATGATGGGCGCTTGGATTACGCCCGAAACGTCGTGATTACATTTATTTTCTTTTATACCCACGTGACTTTACCGAAAGAACCAAAGAGTATACGGGGGATCTTTGTCTTTAGTATGATGGGGAGCGGTGGTGTAGTGGTGAGCGCACGTCGATACAAATCCGACGAGCCGAGTTCGATTGTCGCTCACGGCCAACATCAGCGGCGACCATCTCTGCACCGGTCTCCCCCAGGTCGACTCAGCCTCAAACAAGTACGGTATTCCCTTGTTATACCACGGACTTGCTATCCGCGGGTTTGGCTATTCGCGAATCGCATTTGGAACTCTGCACGCCTGCAGAAAGTGATGAGAGATTAAAAAAAAGAGAGAATGTGATGAGAGAGAATATGATATAGTGTAGTGTATAGTGTAGTGTATAGTGTAGTGTATAGTGCAGTGTATAGTGTAGTGTATAGTGTAGTGTATAGTGTAGTATATACTGTATAGTGTAGTGTATAGTGCAGTGTATAGTGTATAGTGCAGTGTATAGTGCAGTGTATAGTGTATAGTGCAGTGTATAGTGCAGTGTATAGTGTATAGTGTAGTGTATAGTGTAGTGTATAGTGCAGTATATAGTGTATAGTGTAGTGTATAGTGCAGTGTATAGTGCAGTGTATAGTGCAGTGTATAGTGTGCAGTGTATAGTGTATAGTGCAGTGTATAGTGCAGTGTATAGTGCAGTGTATAGTGTATAGTGCAGTGTATAGTGCAGTGTATAGTGCAGTGTATAGTGTATAGTGCAGTGTATAGTGTAGTGTATAGTGTAGTGTATAGTGTAGTATATAGTGTATAGTGCAGTGTATAGTGTAGTGTATAGTGTAGTGTATAGTGTAGTGTGTAGTGTAGTATTCTAGTTCAGCACACACCGTGACGTTTCGCAAGTATGGGGTGGTGGCGGGTTTAACGGCACATTTATATTTAAACCAAACACCTCTATTATAGATAATATTTGATAATTGGTGTTTTACCCTTCCATCTGGCAACAAAACTGACAGCTTTTTTACAAGGAGTCATGTTTGTATAGACCACAATACCTGCAGTCATAATGCAAACAAAAAACATAACTCTGATAATGTATGCACTGTCCTTGAAGTTGATTGGTCCACACCCGAGACAGCTTTCCTTAGAGCCTAGTCCTTGTAGAAAAAGGTGTCAGTTTTGTTGCCAGATAAAAGGGTAAAAAAAACAATTATCATAATTTTTCTACTGGCAAATGAGGTTCCAATGGTGGATCATTTGTCGGGAAAGCCTCCTGCTGCTGCTGCGTGTGAAACATTATCCGCGAAATTGGCTATTGACGAGCATCTCCAGGAACGTATCCCTCGCGAATAACCAGGGAACGTTGCAGCTGCTGCGGAGTGTACATACTGTAGCGTCACTGGGGAGACAAAGGCGGCCGAGCGTGATGCCGTGTCTTGCTTCGTTGGTGCTCGTTAACTTATTATTTCGTTCTTTCCGTAAAGTCACGTAGATAGAAAAATAATAATAATAATGAAGCGAATACAAATGATACAATTTAAATAATTGTATTAATAACTTTACTAATATTAGGTTTATTCACTTTATTCTTATTTTTCTTCTTCTATCTACGTGACTTCACCCAAAGAACCACAAAATTTGAATTCCTGCAAGTCAGAAATTTAACTCGCACTTGCCCCTGTAGGCTACACGCGGGGTGTTTGTCTTTGTCTAAGTCTACGTCAATTATGGAAATTCCACAGTATCATGGTTGGGCCCAGTACATCCACAATACAAGCACTCACCATACGCATACACGCAAGGGAATTGCATGGAAACTCCACGTTCCCACGGCGGGGCCCGTTAGATCCACAGTATAACACGC